TTCAGGACTCGTCATCTGAATGTATTTGCATCTCAATTAGTGATGGTGTTTCCCTCTGAAAGTAACAGTTATCGTACTAAACGCCAAAGCCTTCTCCACTAGATGATATGTCAACATAGACGTATCCTTTTTGTCTAGTAAGATATAGACAACAGGAAATTCTAGCTCCCTCAATAGAACTAATGCTGCGAATTCATGATTTAAAGTTTTAGAATAATAGTAGGATGCTTCCATGTTTGGTACAATTGTAACAGCAGAAGGCAAGACATGAAAGCAAAGGTATCTTTCAAGTGGTCAAACCGCTATTTATATATCTATACAGTTTTATATTCGGCAACCAATCACTGAGCGTGTGACTTTGGTTGACACTAAACGACATGAAATAGAATGTTCAAATACATTTACATAGTATTGAACTGTGGGAATATGTGAAATAATATACCGTTGGAACACATTGTCTCTATATCACACCACCACACAGTAACTAGTTCATTAGGCTGTTCTCATCTATTTTTCGCTAACTGAAACAAGATCTGATCGATTGAATAAACAAGAATTTGATAGTAGATGAGCTGATATATATTTCATCTTTTTAAGAATCTTACCTATGTCCTATGATTTCTCTCAATTCTTTCCCTGTAGTGTACTAAGTTAAAACCCAGTTACACGGAATAGATTTTTCACACACTAGACTGATTGCTAGCGAAATCTCAGGAGTGGACATTTACGAACATGCAGCATCTCTGGTGTAGACATGATATCCAGCTATCCATCACAGAGAAGCTACATCGACTGAGATGGTTAGGACATGTGTTATCGACCAAAGGGCGTGTGTACTGCTCAGTAGCAGTCCGCTCCGTCCTCCTTTATAGCTGGCCGTGAGACCTGGCCATAGAGAATGGAAGACATGAAAAGGCCGGTCAGCTAGCTGTCTTTGATCATAGGTGCCTGCGTTCTATCTCCCGTGTGAAGTGGTATAATAAGTTGAGCAATATTGAGGTTAGGCGTCGGTCGAGTACTAGGCAAGGAGGGGAAATCAACAGATGAGGCTGTGAATCAGCTACATCGACTGAGATGGTTAGGACATGTGTTGCGTATGCCTAGTCATCGATCGCCTTCGCATAGGGTGCCTCCAAAGCCTCAGGATGGTCGGGGGTGGGTGCCTTGCTCTGCGGGTTAGCCACCCCTCCGCACACCTCTTGAAATCCTCGCATATGACCGGGCGTCTTATATAGCCTCTCCTGAGGAAGTCCTACTCACTGCCTTCACGTGGCGGAGGTGTTTTTAACCAAAGTGAGAGGGCGAAAGCGGATACCCGGTGCTCTTCACCGGGTTGACTGTCCATTGGATGACAGTCTAGGGGAGATGGCTAAACCCTGATTCCAAACCACCAACGACTGGCGTATGAAGCTCACTGGAGCTCACCGGCAGACGTATGGACAAAGGGCTTGTTGGATGTCCTGGATGTCTGGCCCCATTCAAAAAGGCGTATGAACCGAACTCCGGTCACCGGCTGCCAATGGATAGTGTACTCCCTACTCCACTCCTACTGCCTTGTAGGTCACACTTGGTTGTGTAAAGGCTAGAGCTGCACTCTCAAACAAAAGGCCAAGCGATTCTGGGGAAATCACTCGTACCAAATTCCCATGAAACTTCATGAACTCTCTTACAAACGAGGTACAGTCAAGGCTGATATGGAGTGCCTGGGGCTACAAACCGTCTACGGAATCCGTCTGTGGAACGAGAATTGGATAACGCTGTCGCAAAACCTTACATGAGATCGCCGCGCCTGGGCAGCGATGATTCGAGATGTTCATGAAGCTGGCTCATCCTCCCGTAGGAGATAGCCGTAGTAAATTATAAATTATTATATTCGCATAGGGTCAGGCTGGAAGAGAGCTAGTGGTGGTCAAACCAAAACATGGCACCAGTCAATGAAATCTACAAGTTAGTTTAATGCACGTAGGAAGGTGTAGACTGCCTGACTGACTGGTTGGGGTCCTCGGGACGATAAAAACCAATGGTTGGAAACAATTGGTGACATTGCTCAAAATAGTTCCCAATGGCGCAGATGCATCCACTCCTTGTGACTTATGATTTCCAATGAAACTATATTGTTCTTCGTTATTACTACTACTTTGTCTCACATCTCAACTTACTGTCTCTATTATGCATTTCTCCTACTTTCTTCTCCTGCTTTGTGTGCTACATGGAGTGTGGCGACTTAAATTGTCGCACATATGTGCAAAGTTCTATGTCTAATACAGACAGACAGATCGATCACAGGACGCGTGTACTGTGCAGCAGTTCGCCTCTGTTCTGCTTTATAGCTGTGAGATATGGCCATTGAAAGTATAAAATATGAAGAGGCTAGACATATTTGATCACAGATGTTTGTGTGCTATTTCCCGTGTTAAGTGGTACAATAAGGTGAGCAATATTGAGGTTAGGCTTCGGTCTGGTGCCAGGTAGGTGGGAGGGGAAATCAAAAGACGAGGTTGTGAAGTTACATCGATTGAGATGGTTAGGACATGTATTTTTTAAAATTTTTATTCCTTCACGTTCCCAGTGGAACATAGGGCTTCAAGCTAGAGCCAGCTTGAAGTTTCTGCAGCAGTGTTTATTTTCATTGGATGGGGTTGCTAGCCTCATGCCCAACTTTTCCTATTAACCAGCTTTTATTACTGATTTAGCGAGGTAAAGGAGTGCGTCGGTGGCCGGGGATTGAACCCCGGACCATGTGCATGGTCGGCGAGCGTCCTAACCGCTGTGCTACCGACGCAAAATTCACATAATGGTACACCCATTGACTGGATATCGGTTTTCAGGAGAACCGAACACACCTATGCCTGCCTCTTGCAAGACGTGACCGGTATGCAGTGTATCATCCTGTAGCGCAACCACTCGAGATCACTCTCCCTCGGTGTACCCAAAACAATATGGACCGCTTCACGATTTTGCGTGTCATCCTTGCGCAGGGGCCATTCTAATCTTCTCTGTATCGTTCCAATTTTAGTATATGTACCGCTGAAGCGAGTACAGACAGGTATGTATTACGCATGCCTAACCATCGCCTTCTCAGATGAGAAATGTTAGCTGACATCGGTTTGGATTGGAAAAGAGTGAGTGTTAGTCAAACCAGAACATAGAATCAATCCATAAATTCTTTGACGGTTGGTTTAAGTCACGTAGGGAGATGTGGACTTCCTGACTGGTTGGTGTCTTCAGGGTAGTAAGCACCGATGAAGGCTGGAGAAAATTGTTGATATGGCTCAAATTGATCGTTCACAATGGCTGGAGCAGATGCATTCACTCCTTGTAATCCCCCGTATCCATTACATCCTCATGTTTTTCAATGTTACCATTCTTTGTCGAGTACATTTCTTGTTTTCCTACACATTTGTGTACTATGTGGAGGGAGGCAGCTGGAACATCTTCACTTCTGTGCAAAGTCCATCATGGTATACGCTACACGTACTGCTCAGGCTAATGGAGTTAGAGTGGAATTCGAGCTCCAGGATCCATTGACTGAAAGTTTGAGTACTTTAGCCAACGAGTCATATCCCTACTGTGTATATTATATATGTATGTCGTAACTATTCATATGAACTGTGATCAAGATTTGACTGGATAGTAGCAAAATAAGTGAGATTTTTTACAAATATAATATAATTTATAAATTTGTTATTCTCTCCATAAGAAGACGTAGACAATCTGGAATTTGATCAAGTGTGACTAGTTGTTGATACATATCCAATTTATTTATTAGTCAGGATTTGCCATCCATCAGCTAAGATCACACCTTCACGTCTGTTCAAACTGTTGGGATTCACCCATATATGTAGGGCTTCTGCAGTCAGTCTTTCTTTATATGAACCAAAACCTTTCTGTAAAACCTTAGTCTTATCAAAGTCGATTTTGTGTCCCGTTTCTATCGAGTGCAATGCGATCGCTGAGTTGTTTTCTAGCTTCTTCAAATCTGCAGAGGTCTTTGGAACCGCCTTTAGACATTGCTTATGCTCTTTCACTCTTATATTTACCTGTCTGGAAGTTTCTCCTACATATACGGCATTACAATCCCCACAATTGATCTGGTATACGCAATTCTGCTGGTTTTCTTGTTCTATTTTATTCTTAACCTTCACCAGTAGTGAGCGTAAGGTGTTTGATGCACGAAAATACACTTTTATGTTATGGTCGTTAAGGATTTGCTTTATTTCATCGAATGTTTCTTTGCGGCAAGGAACCATCGCTGTACTAACCCAACTCTTAGCATCAGGTTTCGATTCATCCTTGTCTTCACATTTCAAATATCTTTTTATGAATGCTTTAGGATAATTATTTGATTCAAGGGTGGATTGAACCAATTTTAGTTCCTTGCTAATATCTTCCTCCTCAGTAACTAGACGTTTGGCTGTGTTGATCAGATTCTTGGTGGTAAATGGGTGAGCTAAATAGTAATCTAGGTATCTATCCGAATTTGTCGCCTTTCTGAAAATGTTTATTTTAAATTTTCCATCTAATTTTCTTTTTACTAAACAGTCCAGGAACGCCAACTCATTCTCATCGGACTCAACCTCTTCGGAAAACTTGATAGTTTCTGACATATTGTTTATTAAGTGAAACAGTTCATTTAACAAACTACGTTTGATTATGATGAAGGTATCATTTACGTATCTTAACCACATCTTTGAGGGACTAGGGCATCTCATAATTGCATTTGTTTCTAATGAGTGCATAAACAGATTGGCGACTAACGGAGATACTGGTAATCCCATAGCAATGCTTCCTGTTTGACGATAAAGAACCCACCCCTCTAGACGTAAATAACGTGGATCGAAGACACAATTCTAATACCTTCATAATTTCGTCGGGATCATTTCAATTTCGCTGAGATTTTACAAATGTAATTTTATAAATGTCGTAACTATATTGTAAAACTTTTTACAGAAGTTGACTCTGACTCCCCACCTCCCCCCCCCCAACTTTTGCTTCTTTAGCTCGCTGAAGCTTTAAACTTTCTCCACTGTGATTGTCATCGTCTCCACTTGAATTTAACACCTGAATCTATCGTGATTAATCGATTTGGAATATGGAAACTTGGCGGATTTGAATTCTCTCAGGCAATATCTAATCCAGACGGGAAACACTCGGAACAGTCTACTATTGTCAGAATTCCTACCTGGCAGTCAAATTTAATGCCTAATTGTCAACTGAGTTTAAATGCTAGCAGTCCAGAGGCAATTTTACAAGTAAGTAAGAGTCTTTAAAACATTCTATTTGTATTTTTTTTTTGCCTCTATTGTATATAGCATTTATGATGGTGTTGTGTGAATTATTTAATGTCTTTGTTCATTCCTTTGCGTTCCAGATGGAAGATAGAGCTTCAAGCTTTTGGAATTTCATGGTGGTGGTGGTGTCGTTTATCCGGAGGAGGGTAGGGAGTTGCTAACCTCATGTTCAACCTTACCACCCTTCCAGCCTTATTACCAGCTAGGCAAGGTTTGCAAGGTAGAATATAATTCCATATTAGATAGACTTATTCGATACTTTACTTGGTACATTATGGGTACCAAGAGATGCGCCACACAAAATCCCGTGTGAGGGCTGGGGGATACTACTACCTGGACACCTAGACCGAAGCAGGTGGTGGTTGTCTTAAAGAATCACTCTCGGGTCTTTGACTTGAAGTCTTATCCACATGGCAGTGGAGCAGCGTCAGGAGCCTGGTTGCCATGGTTTCCGGTGTCCAAAACAGTTTCATACACTCATAAACACCATAGTTTTGAAATCAGGGTTTTCTAGGTCTCCTTGGTAAACCTGAATGTTCGCCAATACGGTTGTAAGCTCCAGACGTTCGCTTTTCAGTTTTGTGAGAATTTCCTCCACCATGAGAAAGCAGTGAATAGGACTTATCTGGCGGAGGCTATGAATGATTATGGTAACATGAGGGCATTTCGCGAGGAAGGCTGAAGTCTACTGACGCTTGACTGTACCAGGTCGTTTAGAGGGACTCTTATTCTATATAAAACACTGTGATGCAGTATTAATAACTGAATCACGCTTCAGGCGCAATTTATTGTTCCTAACCATATATCAGTGTATTCGTACGACTTTCTAACTTGATTTATACACTATACTTTCTCTCCCTCATGTTTTTTGTTGTATTGCAATTTTCCATATTATCTGAGATAGGTGTTGTGTCATTTCGATTGCACGTGTTTGGTATTGATTTGATGAACAAATATTCGGTGATTAACCTCCCTCTCTATCCATCATACGTGTCTGCATTCTATCTCCCGTGTTAGGTGGCATAATAGAATGAGCAATATTAAGGTTAGGCATCGAGTGCTAGGTAAGGAAGGGAAATCAATCGACGAGGTTGTAAAGTAACATCGATTGAGATGGTTAGGACATGTGTTACGCATGCCTAGCCAGCCATCACCTTCCTTGATGGGTAATGTTGGCTGATATAGGGTAGTTAGATTGAAAAAGAGCTAGTGGTGGTCAAACGAAAACACGGCTTCATCAGTCAATGAACACCATAACAGTTAGTTTAAGTCACATAGGGAGGTGTAGACTGGCTTCCTGTTTGGGGTCCTTGGGATGACAAAAACCAGTGGAGACAATTAGTGATATGGCTAAAAATCCTCATTGTCTATGGATGGCGCAGGTGCATTCACTCATTGTAATTTATCATACCCAGTAGAATTCTACTGTTCTTACATATTATTATCATTATTCTTCCCTCACTCACACTTCTGTTTATTATCGCTCTTTTGTACCTCTCCTTACTCTCTTTTTTACTCTGTGCCACATAGAGTGGAGTGTGGCAACTCGAACTGGTGCAATTCTGTTTAAAGTTCTACATTGAAACCAGTCAGTCACTTGGTCACCGAATTGAATATCAGATAGAACTGCTAGAAATAATACTGAATTTGTGAGATTATAGATTCTACAGTAGGCCGTTGTAGTACCAATAGTGGCTAGACCCCTGTTTCTTTAACACGAAAAAGCTCCAGTGTTTTTTTCAAGTTAATGGTCCAATGATCTCTGTTCTGTTGGGGTATGCAGTGTCTAGGAGCCATTGGCAATTGATTTGGTACCTGATAGTTGATAAATAAAGATATTCTTCAGCTCACCGGACATTATAAGATCTGTTTTCACCAGGTGTGAGATAATATTGAACGGATTAATGATGTTTACTTCAAATCCCACTGAGAAATGTTTTCAACGACAAAATAGCAACTAATATCCTAAATCAACAGCCAATATGATTGGCTACAAAGGAGCAGTTGAATTGATAGATATGATTATGAAGAGGGTGCTATTATACGGATCAGAGACTTGGCGCGTCATAAAGAGCACATCAAACAAACTACAGACTTTCATTAACAGCTGTCTTTGCTCAATACTGAAGATCAGATGGCCGGCCAGAAAGGATCAGCAATAGGGACCTCTGGGAGCGAACCGACCAGGAACCGATTGTGAAACAAATAGGCAGGAAGAAATGGAGATGGATTGGCCATACTCTGAGGAAATCATCAAGTGACATCACTAGGCAAGCCCTCAAGTGGAACCCGAACAAGAAGCGGTGAGTTGGTCGTCAGTGCAACGGTGACTTGGAGGAGGTCATGTGAAGAGGAGATGAAAGCATGTGAGCAGACTTGGAGCCGGGTGAAAACATTGGCAGAGAACCGAACGCAATGGAGACGTGGGGCTGAAGCCCTACGTTACTCTAGGAAATAATAATAATTATTATGAAGAGGGAGGTAGCCCTAGATGCTTCGGGAGAATCAGAACCGGTCGTGTGGTAAGTATGACCTATGGTTTATCGCGGCATTCAAATTTCTTTGGAATTATTTTCTTAACTCTTAACTTGTTCGCGTTATTACTTCACATAGTACGTTACTTTTGAGCTACAATCGCATAATATCTAGAGGTTTCTTTTGTTTACGAATACAGTATAGTTCTTTTTGCCTATTTAAGTTCGATGACGAATTGAAATGTATTCATACTCTAATTGCTTTTCTGTAGCGTCAACTGAGTTTGTGTACTACTCAGCAGTCCACTCCGTCCTCCTTTATGGCTGTGAGACCTGGCCATTGAGAGTGGAAGGCATGAAAAGGCCGGCTAGTTGTCTTTCATTATAGGTGCCTGTGTTTTATCTCCCGTGTTAGGTAGTAGGTGTAATAGGGTGAGTAATATTGAGGTTAGGCATCGGTCGAGTGCTAGGTAGGTGGGAGGGGAAATCAATAGACGAGGTTGTGAAGTTACACAGGTTGAGATGGTTAGGACATGTGTTACGCATGTGTAGCCATTGGTCGCCTTCCTTAAGCAACGGGAAATGTTACCTGACATAGGATTGATCAGGTTGGAAAATAAAGAGCTAGTGGTAGTGGTGGTCAAGCTAAAACATTGCTTCATCAGTCAATGAAATCCACAAGAGTTAGTTTAAGCCAGCCACGTTGGGAGGTGTAGACTGGCTGGCTTCTTGGTTGGGGTCCTTGGAATGATAAGAACTAATGAAGGCTGAAGACAATTAGTGGTGATATGGCTGGCTTAAAATCCTCGTTGTCAACAGCTGGTGCAGATGCATCCACTCCTTGCGATTTATAATATCCAATTAAACTATGTTGTCCTTCCATATTACTACTCTTTTCCCCTAACACTTCTGTTTATTTTCTCTCTTTGTTGAATCTCTCACTATTCTCTTCACTTGCTTTTTGTGCTACATGGAGGGAGAGTGGCAACTCGGACTGCTGTACATCTCTGCAAAGTTCTACGTTGAAACCAACCAGTCAGTCCGTCATGCATATGTATGACTAAATAACATGCATATTCATACAATAAACAAGGAGTTTAGCTACAAGGACTATCTAACTACTTATCAGGATATCTGTTATAAGTGGATTGCGTTCAATGAATTTGTTATTGATTGAATAGAAAATCGATTTCATGTATTCTTTTTTTATTATCTTTGGATTTATTTTTAGTTCACTAGTTTTGCTTGGTTGTTTGTTTGTTTCCTTGCTTACTTGCTTGCTTGCTTTCCGTATGTTTTAATCGCTATTTTCTGAGGGTATTTCTATTTATTTGTTTATTTTTTTGCATAAAATCGATATGTAAATGTCTTGTTTAAATCATTATCTCCAGTGTAAAGTAGGAGTGGTAGTAGTAGGTTATTGCTACCGGTAGTTATGTTCACATTGTTTTACTGTCTTTGTTGTGTGTCTTCGTTTTCCTTTCCATGCGGTTGTAGTATTCTTATTTATTAAAGAACAAATTTAGTACATTGAGAATATTATTCCTTTGGGTTCCTAGTTGGAATATAGGACTTCAAAAGCACATCTCCATTTTGTCTTGTTCTTGGCGGTCCTCTCTAGCCAGATCTACCTGTTGTCTAATTTGTATCAATGTGTGAAAAATGCGACAAAACCGTTGTTATTCTTATCTCCACCTGCATAAACCTTATTATCAATATTTTGTTATCATTATAATCATCGTTATTAACTACGTTCAAAACATTTACCACATTATTATTATTATTTGATCCACAAAATCACCGTCGTTAGTTAAAAATTTTTATATATATATATCTATGTAAATTAGAAGAAGATCTAATTGAAAACAATATTTTTCGCTTATATGTCTTGTTCTAATAATGCGACAGACAGTTTCCAAATATACGTGTTAGACATCCCATCGGAAGTCAGTATTTGAAAGGCTAATTTTATTATTATTATTATTGTTCCCTTGGGTTCCTAGTGGAACATAGGGCTTCAACTACACGTCTCCACTTGCTTCTGTCTTCTGCTGTACTTTTCACCTGCATCCATGTTAGTCCATACTGTTTCAACTCTTCTTCACACGATCTCCTCCATGTCACCCTTGCACCGACGAACCACTTGCCGCTTCCCTTTCGGGTTCCACTCGAGCGTTGGCCTGACGCGCGATGTCACCCATTGGCCTCCTCAGCGAGTGTCCAATCCATCTCCACTTTCTCCTGCATATTTGTTGAGCGATTGGTTCTTGTTTTGTTTGTTCCCATAGTTTCTTGTTTGTGATTCTTTCCGGCCATCTGATCTTCAGTGTATAGAGCGAAGACAGTTGTTGATAAAGGTCTGCAACAGGCTGTTGGAAATATTCTTTGTGACACACTGGCCAAGTTTCTGATCCATCCGTATAGAAGAACTGACTGGCTTGACGTTTGTATTGAAAATCCGAATTTTGTTGTTGATGCTGAGTGACAGCGGAAGATTTCCAGATTGGTTTCAGGTTGATGAATGTGTTTCTCGCCTTCCCGATTCTCGATTTGACATCCTCGTCCGTTCCTGCTGTAGTTGAGACAATGCTCCCTAGATAAGTGAATGAAGTAACCTCTTTCAATCCCTCCCGTTGATGGTGATTGTCGCTGGATGTTGCTGCTGTTGTTGTTGGTTGGTTATTTTCATGACCTCCGTCTTGTCTATGTTCACCTGGAGTCCTGTCTTTGCTGCTTCTTCGACCAGTTTGTCGGTTTTCGCTTGTAAGTCATCGATTTTGTGTGAAATCAAACTACTAACTGACAACTTGAAAAACACACATACACACATAGCCTGGGATTTCGAACAAAGCTGAAAGGCTGATGAAAATGAAGTCACCAAAAAAGTAAGGCTGGTGGAAGAGAAAACAAATCAAAATAATAAAAAAAGTGTCACTTTGATTGGACACTAGTCAGTAACTAGTGTGATGTGTCTAGTCCTTTCTTTGATGTAGACTGAATTCTATCAGTCAGGTTTGCAATGTGGCCACTATGCCACTAAGTAGCCATCACGGTATAAATTCATTTGATGATATTAGATGGTTGCAGGCAATCGGCAGGAAGTATTGCCTGCAGCACTGGGTGACATCGGTTCGAATCTCAGAAGGGATGAGATGGGTTCCTTCAAGGTTGCAGATACGCCTTTGCTGACTGTTGAGTGCCAGCTAGCACGAAACCTAGTTCAAGCAAGGCTTCCTGTGGCCGATTGCCTCTAGCCATCTAATATCATCAAAGTATCACTTTGCTAGAAATATGATTATGGTCTTTGACAGTGAACCCGTGATGATAGTCTTTTATGAAATTCTTATCTTATAGTTTTTGTGAGGCCTGGGGTACTACTGCCGGGGGGTGCCCAGACGAAGCAGGTGGTTGGCTGTAAGGGGGACATTCCTTTGAGCTTTTGATTCGAAGTTTGATTCACTAGGTAACAGAGCAGCGTCAGGCGCTAAATCCCCGTGTTTGACGGTGACCGAAACAGGCTCACATACCATTTGATCCGTTCGGATTCCATGAGCCCGGATGTACTCCATAGCTTTGGAATCAGGGTTGCCCAGCTCACCATTCTGGTTGTAAGCGCCAGACATTCTCATTCACCCTTTCACTTATGTGAGAAACAACCCCTCCCTGTTCCTACTGAAAGCACAGAGCTTCAAGCTTTCGAAGATTTGGTAGTAAGTGTGTGTTTTTATGAGGTGAGGCGGGGCGTGGGGTAGGTTGTCAACCTCATACTCAACCTTTCCTCTTTATTTTTATGAAATTACTACTGACTGGTGAACTAGGCAGGGATTCAGAGTGAGTCAGTTGGGAATCGAACTTAGACCTCCTGTGAGTAGTTGGTGGGCGTTTTACCAGTGAACCATTTCCATACTTTATATGTTACTGTATTTACTAATACTTACTATTTAATGCATTCCAGTGTTAATTCTTTGTGTAAATAAGAGTAAAACATTTCTGAGCACTCAATGAGTTTGTGGTTTACTTGAAGTTATACTGATATGTTGTTCGTTGTCGGTCAAACAAATGTAGCTTCTTAACTGTACAACAGTTATTTCCTGTTTTCTATTTTAGGACTGTTAAACACTTATAATAATGGTAATCCGTTATCTGTAAAGGCAGGCTTAGTTAATTAAGTGTCCAACAAACCGAGCAATAACTCTACTAAGTAGTACATTAAAAAACGTAGATGTTGAGATAAAACAGCGAGAAGAAGCATTGGTGTTGAATAACTATCCTATAAAAGTCATTAAGTCATTATTTATGTTATCATAATTAGTTTCACCATTATTTTTATTTTGCCTTCGACCTTTTTTGATCTTCCTAGTGAATTTTATAGGATAGTCATTCGACACCAACCAGCTATTTTTCTATGTTTTATTTCGTCATTTAGGTCTTTTTTTGTACTGCTTAGTGCTATCCCTCGGTTTGTTAGACACTCAATTAACTAAGCATGTCTTTACAGATAACGGTGGATGAGATGAATTCAAGTCTAAATATCTACTTATTAGTATTACTGTTATGGAAGCTGACTGATGTAATTTAAACTATTTGATGCCTCAAAGTACGATACCCAAAGACCTCTTGTCTGTCAACTTCTTATATCCAAAATACTTTGAAGTGACCAATTCGAAGTATTATTATTATTATTATTCGAATAATGCTAAGGTTAAGTATGGTGTTAAGCATGAGAAGGGATAATTTAATTCGAAGACTGGGTATATTATAAGTTTGTTTTTCGACCGATAGCTGCTACCTTGACTTGACAATCAGGCGCATATATCACATTGACACAACACGATATACACTGGCCGAAACGAATGTTTCAGCAACTCCTACCATACGAGAAAGGTTCCTTGAATGGTAGCTAGACTAAAAGCAGTTACCATCACAGTGTACTTTGATTACATTATGTTTGGGGTCGCACTGCTGGCAAATAGGTAGAAGACAGCAATTTACGTTAATGTTTACGTCCCAAATCTCGGTCATGAGAAAAGATAAGAACAAACACTAACTCAACAACCAATCACAGCAGACTTTGCGTGGGCGGATACGATCCGCAGATATATGGTCTGATCTTCAAAGAAACGGCCACAAAGAGATGACAAAATAACTTCCAGAGAGAAAACAACTAATCAGAAGACACTCTTTCTCTGCTAACAATAACGATAATACTAATGTACATAAAAATCTATAAATATCTGTTGATTTTCTCAATAAATGATCCGTTGGCTGGCCCTTGTCTTCTGTCGTTACAATACTAGTACTAGTTATGGAGAAATCAACTTCCAAGAGGTGTGAGCAGTTGAGTGGTAGTAACTTCCCATACACTTCCGTAAACACACAAATCTTTCAGTTCAGAAGTCTGTTTTCACAAAATCCATTGGGACATTAGTCGTGTTAGCAAGCTGCCAGGGATTACGTAATTAATGCCACTCGATTCGTATCTAGAACTAAACAACATGACATAAAATAATATGTTTAATCACCAACCAACTTTTCTATTTTCACATTTAATCATAGAAAATACTAAAAAGATGGTTGCAGTGAAGATAATATCTTCAAGCTTGACCACAGATTGATATCAGTTAGAGAGCCATTGAAAACCAGAGAGTTCTGGACAACTGTCTCGTCAGCCTAGTTTGGAACTAATCGTCAGTATCCACCCAACAGGGTTCGAACCCAGGACCTTTCGGTTACTGGGGAAGCTCGTAAGACATTCAGCCACTGGGACCCGAGGCAATGGCCACCAGCACATGAATTCTAACTTCTACCAATTCGTGATTTATTTAACGCCATGGGCACCAGCTACGAATATTCAGCCTGGTTGATGACTCTGTCGGAAAGGAAATTTTCTCCTCTGCAACTGTCTTTTTAACTTTTCCTATCTTCTATTTTCCCGTCGGTTGATTGGATCGAAGTGCTCGGTCTTAGGTTGACATGTCAGCTCCTTGTGCAGATGCTTCAACGATGTTTGGTCATGTAACTTGAAGTCAATTGCGGTGGGTGGTGACCAGCAGTGGAATCCAAGATAAGACGCGTTTCGCCCTACTTGGGACTCGTCAGCTAGCTGGATGGGAACACCATCACTGACTCACTGGGGAATGCAGGTACATCCAGATGACGAGTCCCAAATGGGACGAAATGCGTATCCATGACTCGCATCACTGCTAGTCACTATCCATCAGTTGACTTCTTGTTAATTCCTGACTTGATGGGCAACTGCAACCGATATTAATTGTTTGTCATTCCTCAAAATTCTTCCATATCTGCCTGTTTTTCGTTAATCTATTCCTCCATAAAGTCTAAATTGCATAACGATGTTTTCTTATTACTATTGCTATTCTTATTGTATGCAACATATATGTATATAGGGTGAAGTGACCGCTGCAAGTGATATGTTCTCTTTGGGTCTATTAATCTGTGCCCTATTCAATCGTGGTAAATCAATTCTCTACGTGGGGAATGATTATTCAGCTTATAAACGAACTGTGAAACAGGTAAGTATATATAAATTTATTATCATGTTTGCTTTTTGTTTGTTCTTTTTTTCTCATTTTATGCAGAGTCAGTCCTCGGGGGACACCTTGAGTAGAAATCTTAGGATATTTTGGGATGCGATTCACCTCTGTCAAATATAAGATGATGCTATAGGACTGGAGTGCATTAATTTCTAGTTTATAGTTACGGAGTGAAATGGTTGAACTCCAGTTGTCTGATTTCTGATGAAGTCACGGCACGGATAGAAAAGACTCGTTTGCCATTTACCAACTTATGCCATGTCTGGCTTAGTAGACATCATATTCCGCTGGCTGGCTGTCGACCAAAGGGTGTGTGTACTGCTCAGCAGTTCACTCTGTTCTCCCTTATGATTAGCTGTTAGACATGGTCGCTGAAGGTGTAAGACATGAAATAATGTAAGACATGAATAATGTTCATGAACCTAGTTTGTTCCTGACACTGCTTCACCACCTTCTATATCTGACTTCAAGGCGAAGTCTGTGTGTGTAGCTCCTTAAAACGTCCACCTGCTTCGGTCTGGACAGTATCCCAGCCCTCGCAAAAATCATGAGACAGTTTTTGTTTGACGAATCTCTTGATGCTGATAATGTACAAAGTCTGTGTTTTCAATAATAATAATAACCGGCCTATTTGCAATTAAAAGTGTTCTCTGAGCTGGTTGGTTTAGTCGCGAAGCTTTCGTCGTCCTTCCGGAAAACATCTTCAGCGCCATATTTAGCACAGAGTGAAATGATTTAAATTTCTTCATGCGTGATGTAATTGCGTCTCCTAGTTACTATCTTCACATATGTATTGAAGAAGAAGAAGAAATTTAAATCATTTCACTCTGTGCTAAATATGGCGCTGAAGATGTTGTCCGGAAGGACGACGAAAGCTTCGCGACTAAACCAACCAGCTCAGAGAACACTTTTAATTGCAAATCATCCACCTGAGCTACAAATCTTCTCTATTATTTCATAACCGGCCTATCGCTGCACTCCAGTTAATACATAGAATGGTAGTGTGATCATTTATATAATGACAGCTGAGCATTACTCATGATTACCACCTATCTGGTTGGAAGTTCAATCTCTTAGTTCACCTGATAAATCCCCAGACTGCTAAATCTAAATGCATGTGTTGAAATTGATCATTATCAGTAGAAGATATCAGTGGCTTCAACAACACTTCATCTCCACTTTCTTCTATTTTCTGCCATCCTCTTCAGCTGGCTGGCTCGACGATTTCGCATAATCCCTCATCTCCATGTCACCCTCGCATCGAGGACCCACTCATCGCTTCCCATTTGGATTCCACTCAAGCGATGGAGACTGCATTGCGTGCGATGTCATTCGTCGGCTTACTCAATGTATGCCCGATCCATCTCCACTTTCTCCTACATATTTGTTGAGCGATCGGTTCTTGGTTGATTTGTTTTACTGCAGAGTTTCTTGTTGCTTATTCTTTCTGACCAGCCGGCTGGCCATTTGATCTTCAGTATGGAGCCAGCCAGCGAAGGTAGCAGCTGTTGGTGAAAGTCTGCGGCATCCTGTTGGAAATCCTTCTCGTGACTGACACGTAGTGCAGGTTTTTGAGTGAAGAAATGACTGACAGACTTCACATTGGTGTTGGGAATCCGAATCTTATTCTCTATGCTGAGTGTAGGAAATTTCCAAACTGGTTTCAGGTCGGTTGACGAAGGCGTATCTTGCCTTTCTGATTCTGACTTTGATATCTTCATCCGTTCTGTCTGCCTGTAGTTGAAACGATGCTTCCCAGATAAGTGAAGGAGGCAACTCCTGAGGCATTGCTGAGATAATTGTCTACAATCTCTTACATAACTTCAAATGAAAGGGCTTTAACACAATTCGCGTAAATGTTAATCCAATTTCACATTAGTTTTAATTAACTTGTCATCATTCAGTTCAGTATAGATTGAATACCAGTGCTTATCAATCAGTTGTGACATTTACTGTCAATTAAACCACCACCAACACCACCATCACCACATGGTGTAGAATCAAAGATCAGCTGAGAGGTTATAATACCACCTGGATTATTTATATATCTGCATGATTCCAATCTGACACATTCTGCTTGAACTATCCACAACGGGGAACTCACGGAATTCTTCGAAGTGAAAACAGGAGTAAGAGAAGCTGGCTGCCTGCCTACTATCTCCAATGATTTTCCTGATTACGGCAGACTGGATAATGCGACAGACAGACAGCGGCGGGTAACGAGGAAACAGGCATAAAGTGGGCCCACACAAAGAAGAACTTGGAGGATATGGACTTCGCCGATGATATATGTCTGATTTCCCACAAACTGGAAGATATGCGAGTGATGAAAAGCAACAAGTTGACGATAGAAGAAGCATCCAGAGAAGGTAGGACTTCAGGTGAACATAGATGAGAAATCTGAGAGAAGCAACCTCCTTAAAACACCTACTTGGGAAGCATCATCGTTCCAACTACAGGCGGACGGAGCTGATGAGGATATCAAAGCGAGGATCGGGAAAGCAAGGCAAGCTTTCAGTACTGTTAAGTCTGTGTGGAGGCCAACAGCACTCAGTACGAAAAATAAGATCCGAATTTTCAACTCCAATGTGAAGTCAGCGCTACTTTATGGGTCAGGGACTTGGAGCGTCATGAAGAGCATTTTGAACAAACTACAGACCTTCATGAACAGCTGTCTTCGCTCAATACTACTCAATACGAGATGGCCATAAAGGATCAGTATCAGGGATCTCTTGGAGCGAACCATCAAGTCAGTGACATCACACTCCAGGCCATCACTCGAGTGGAACCCGAATGGTAAGTGGCGAGTTGGTCGTCAGTGCAAAGGTGATATGGAGGAGGTCATGTGAAGAGGAGATGAAAGTTTGTGGGCAGACGTGGATCCAGGTGAAAACATTGGCAGAGAACCGAATGCAATGGAGACTTCGGGCTGAAGCCCTATTTTCCTGTAGGAACTAAAGGAAATAATAATAATATGCAAATTGAACAAACAAAACAAAAAATAAATACGGCAGATGTAATAATAGGAATTATAATAATCAGGCTTGTGAAAGAAGGAGGAGCGGTTGAACAAACTTTTTTTTCTGTGTACAAAGATCCAACATTTTTAAAAATTTCGATGATCAAAGCTTCAGCAATACGAATGAGTCGGATACTTATTGATTTTGTTAGGTTATTTTTCGCTTTGTAGAGATAACTTTGAAGAAAGAGGCTGTAGAAATATTGTGGTCTCTAATTGACCAGATGCTCAATTACTGCGCTTCTTATAGTAATTCTGGACTAGAAAAGAAGCACTATTCTCAAGGATGCTGTGCAGTGAATGTCCTGTTTAGGGACTGTGAGATCCTTTTACTAAGGATATCAGCAGCTAAGTCACCTTTAAATTCAAGATTCATTCATATACAACCTTTTCTTGGTTAAAACATTTTTGTTTATAAAACACGGTGGAAATTCATTTCCCATTAGGATTTTTCTCAGAAGAATTTAACTCTTCCCCCACAGCGTCAGGACTGCATATGCGGCGAATACGAGTAGCAAGTGGTCGAATCAGGTCTCGTTTTCGACCAATGGGTGATAATCAGCTGTAGGAATTTTTCAGTTTACCATTCCATAACAGATTTCCATAAATTTAATCCTATCAAAGTTTCATCAGTCCTCTTTGATAATTTCACATGTGAAAAAAAAGAGAATATTAGACTCGTTCTTTTCATTCATTCATTTTTTAAACTCAACATATACTACTTATGAGTAGTTGAAATCGGTTGCAAAAATATTGTGCAAAATACTACTACTATTTATTTTTTATATCGTATTATTGTCTATTCCTACTGTTATTTTTTTGTCACAACAAGCTGCCGTCGACATTGTCTGCTAAAGCGACCAATTTACCGAGTAATTTGAAAGAATATGTCAAAATGATGGTTTCGTCGGATCCACAAATTCGACCAGATGCTGTTCAATTTTTAAGAGTAGGTTTACCACTGCACATTTTCATTTGATGTTGTGTTTTTCTTTGTGTATTCGTTATTTATAATGTAATTGAACTCAAAAAGATGCTCGTTTAGTAATGAGTTGTCGGCGATAAGGCGGAAATGGGATTCATTGCCTTAATTACTCGATTTTCAGTTGATGAGTCCCTGAGTTCGAGTCCCACTCCGCCTATTTCAAATTGGGTAGCTGAACTAGGTCATGGGGCTGGCGTCCTGAAATCTTTTAATTTAATTCTCCTCAATTTTACTGAAGTAGCTGTTTTGCAATTAGTAGTGTTCTCTGAGCTGGTTGGTTTAGTCGCACAGCTTTCGTCGTCCGCATTCTGGACAACATCCCCTTTCAGCGCAAGTTTTAACATAAAGTGAACTGATTTAGATTTTCCAAGAGTAATAGAATTGCGTGTCCTGGTAACCATCTTTACTTATGTATTGATCGTTTTTTTATTGACTTCGATTGTAAACTTTCTGGTCACATGGGATTTACTTTTTATTAGTTGGTATATTGGGTCTATGTTAACTTGTTTGTTAATCGCATATTCGTTTGAGTACCGACCAGGCTTCTAGGAATTCCCTGGCACTTTTGGTGTTTCCTCTGTCTAAGATCTTGACATTATCCCAATCGAACTGATGTCCATAATTGTCTACATGCATTGATATGAAACAGGAATATATAAATCATGTCTTTTCACAGCTGATTTGTGTTCCTGGATTCTCATTCGAGGGAGGCGCCCATTTTGCTTAATGTGATGTCTGTTACAGTTCATGAAATTTATTTTGTAAATAGCATTGATTTCATCTCCTTTTTCTGTTGGATCTTTCGCTTTGTACAATATCGAATTAAGTGATTGTGTTGACTGGCTTGTGTACTATATCTGTTTCAAATGGTGTTAATATTCTAGCTGTTATTTTAGAGATATTTTTTATATATGGTTGGATGAATTTCCTTGTGGTCTTTGATTTTGGTTTGTTGTTGGTGTTATGTGTGGAGTTTAAACACTTTTTAATGAAATTGTGAGGCGGATATCCATTCTTTTTGAGGACCGTTGGTATGTATTTTTCTTCCATCCTTTTCAACACTGGAGTGCTACAGTGTGTTTGAACTCTTTTAAACAATGTCTGCACACAGTTTCTCTTGTGAGTAATTGGGTTATTGCTAGTATAGTTGAGTATTTGATCTGTGTGTGTGCGTCGATTTTCTATATACTTGCATTTCTTGTGTTCCGCTAATAAAACCAACCAGCTCAGAGAACCCTGCTAATTGCAAATCATCCACCTGAGCTACAAATCTTCTCTATTATTTTGAAGTAGCTCTTATCAAACGTTTGGGGTTGTAAGCAGTTGAAGAGAAACAAACGGCGAAATAAACCATGGCACGTGTCGAAATCTAATTCGCGATTCGCAAATTAATTTTCAATTAGTTCGTGGTGAAATGTCCCCACAGTTTCCTTTAGAAACCAAAATTATTCAGATTGCAATATGTGATCTCTGCACGATATCATAAGTGACAACCAAGAATATCAGGATCAATGCATGACGCTATACACTAATGATTGGTTGAGATGTATAGTCATATGCAGACCTGATATTTTGAGGATGATTCGTAAATAGGGATTCTACATCCAAAGAAAACATATGTTTATTCGACGCATTTATATCCTGCATACATTCAGCAAATTGGAAGGTGTCCTGAAGGGAATGATTAGATAGCTGTCCCCTGACAGGTTCGAGGATTTCAGCTAGCCATCCAGCTACTGGATGATAGGGCGATCCAGACATATCCAAGATAGGGTGGAGTGGAAGGCCAGCTTTGTGTATTTTCGGTAGACCGTAAAGTCTTGGTATTAGAGATCCTGTTGGTCTGATCTTCTTCACGAATGAGATGATTGTTCTTCATTCTTTTTAAAGCTTCTGTAAGTTGTTTCTCAATTAATTCGGTTTCGAGAATTTACTGTTGTCTGAAAGTGGACATGACATTTTTTCGATATAATCTTTACGATCCATAATAACAACACCTGCACCTTTGTCAGGGCGTGTTAATAATATATCGTTGTTATGCGTCAAAAGTTTAAGTTCTTCTTGGTGCTGTTAGGTCAGAAGACTTTGCATTTGAGGATGAATTGATTAATTTTTTATTTGTATGATTGTTTGACAGTGTTTAACACAGCATAACTGAAATGTCCAAACTGATCTCCTGAAAGGATGTAGAGCTTTCAGTACTTTCTTTTTTTATTCCTTCACGTTCCCAGTGGAACATAGGGGTCTTCAAGCTGGAGGCTTTAAGTTTCGATAGCAGTGGTGTTTATTTTTACGGGATGAGGCTGCAAAAGTCATGTCCAACCTTCCATCTTTACAAATCTTATAACTGGCTTAGTGAGGTAAAGGAGTGCGTCGGCCGAGGATCGAACTCCGGACTAAATGCGTGGTTGGCGAGCATTATACCGCTGTACCACCGACTCACCAGAGCTTTCAGTACTAGTTGTCATAATGAACAAAGTGTTGTAGGTGAGTATTGTTAGGACTTTGTATGTGTGTGTGTGTATGTCTCTTAATCTCCACACTATCATCGAGAGAGAGATCGACATGAGTATCATCGAATTGCTTATTCCAAGGTATAGTGATACACCTGTGGTATGCACCCCTAGATTTCGCGCCCTCGTGGTGGTACTTTTTGGATTCTTTTTACTCTTTGTGAAGGCTGAATTCTTATTGGTTGCTAACTCTTTAGACCTACCAGCCAGTGAATATTCAATGTCTTTTCCAATGGTTACTTGAAACTTATGTAAATTTGTAACCGGTCGAGGACAAGAGACATGGTAACGGAATGCTTATAAGGAATTTGATATTAACACTGGGAAACTATTTATGTACGCCTTATCTGAAAATCGTCATTTGCTGCACAGATCTGCCGTGTTGTTCTACTTCTGCCCTACCTTCATATTGTGTTTCTTTGTCTTCTTTTCACGTCTTTCATGTCTTGTTTCAACACTGGTTTATTTGCTCTCTTTTTGACATTGAATTTGTCTCTCTGCTATTTAGTTCAATTTTAGATTTTCCCGTCGATTGACTGGACCGCGAAGTGCTTGATCTCAGGATGATATGTTGGCTCCTTGTGCAGATGCTTCGACAATGCCTGCTCGCGTAACTTGAAGTCAGTTGCGGTGGGTAGTGACTGGCGGTGAAATCCAGGATAACGCGCATTTCGTCCTATTTGACCCCTTGCACAAGAGGTGGCTTTCGTGGCCCATGTGGTCTATTGGATAATGTTCTGGCGTTTGAAACCATAGGCCCTGGGATCGAGCCTCGATGGGAACACCATTACTCACTCACTGATGAATTCAGGTACATCCAGCTAGCTGACGAGTCCCAAATACGACGAAATGTGCATCATGGATTCTCAACACTGCTAGTCACCACCCACCAATTGATATCTCTCCGCTATTTGATAAGTTAGTGCCGACGAACGTCTCTTTATATATACTACTGACAGGTCTTGTCGGTAGTATACGCCGTAATTTCACCATCTCTGTCAAGTATTTCGACTCTTGTTTGAGGTAGTAGTAGTAGTTCTCTGCCAATTGTCCGTCTTCTCTTCGCGGTTTCACGGGCTAATGACATTGTTATTTCGGGTGAAATTGTGATTTTCGATCAGAGTAGCTTTCGCTTGTGCCCTAGGCTCTCAGTCTACTAGGTCACACTATCGATCAAGGCAACCTGGTTTTTCGAATTCTTGCCAAATAGGAACGTCAAGGTGTGTGTACGTTTCCAGAAATTGACACGAGTATTTATTCTTCTTTAGTATCCTGTTCCTTTTGTCGCAAACTCCTAATTTCCCTAAAGTTTGACTTGTGATCACCAAGTCTTGCCTTTTTGGAATTACCCCATTTATGGTATCAAGCAGATCACACACAGGCGATCTAAATAACTTCGGTTTCTAAAAGAAACTGTGGTAAAATGGTTCACCTCCTCGAACTGTGTAAATTGCTAATTTCATTTGTAGTTTTACCGGTTCGCTAAAGTACTTAACCAGAAGTGGAGTGGTTTGAACAGGTTCACCTCTCTGAACTAAGTCAAATCGGGTACATCGCTGACGCGTTCATCCCTAAATGGACGAAACGGTCGTCTGGTGTTTAGAACACTTCAATCTAGCTGTCCAACAAACACTACTCATATGATTAAAACAATTAGTCCCGCTTTGATAAATTTGAATAAGGCATTTAGAAGACAAATTTCGTGAGATGATATCTTCATTTCGTAGTTTCTCTACAATCGCTTTACAACTAACATGGTTAACAATAATAATAAAATAAAATGCATGACAATTACTCAGTTATATAAAAAACAAAAGTACATACTAATGGCCGATCGTGTTTAAATAGGTCAAGTAGTCAATGGTAGGCGAAGGTTGAAGTCTTGCTTTTGTACACACAGTTTAGGCTGTATGTGATTAATCCCCAAAAGTGCTTCCAACACCTTCAATAACCAACTGTGAATTAGATCTGTGTGATGAAATAATTGTGAAACAGTCAATAATATTGATTGATTTTGTGACCTGACATCAATAAGTGCTTTGCAATGGATGATGATGCTGGATTTCTATTCAGATTAATAATTGCATTGGGATTTTCTATATGCTTTACTAACCATTTTGGAACATGTTCTTTTCGACCACGACATTGGAACATTCTATTAGTTTTATCTATATAAGTGTCACCGCAACTGCAGGTGAACTTGTAGATACAGTTTGAAGTAGAGTCAATAGAATTTCGTCCTTTAATCGTAGGTACAGGGATCGAAAATGTTCGGCATGTGAGAAAAAGAGATGCGACGGCGTAAAATGTGCGTTTGATGGCTGATCGAAGTCTTTGAGCTGTCAACTGTATAATTTGATCACCCTTTAATAATGGTAGTTTAATAAAGATAGCCTTCTTTGGTACAGAAGTTGTCTTTTCTAGATGTGGTCTATCCTTACTGTGACAATTGATAAATTAAGTTTTCCGGATAACCACTAGCTAATAAAACTGAATGTGTGTATATGTCGAAGCTCATCCATCAATGTGTCACTTGTGCATATTTTGCAGGCCCTTGAAAACAAACATTCCACTAGGGAACGTTTATATATCGATCAATCAGTTGTATCACATAGTATCATGCAAGTCTAAAGTATATTCCAGATTATATTGATATGAATATTTTAAAATTTCATTTCAAACAACAATCGAAACTAATTGCATTCTTTTTGTATATTAATCAATCGCTCCTCCACCGCCCACCCCTCACTCCCGTCGACGCCTCCATCCCTCTTCCCCCCCCCCCCAATAGACACCGTATTTCGAAGATGCTTCAATGTCTGTACTGCGCAGTGTTGACAATATGTATCAATTGGATAATTTGGCTAGATCACAATTTTATAAATCCCTACCGAATTCTATTCATACTTTACCAAAAGTAAGTTGATTTTGATTTTTAAAATCAAATTTGTATAATCCTGTTTTCAAATTGATATAAGAAATATAAACTTTTGCTAATGTGGCAGATTGTAAACCCACTATAGAATGTATTATTGATATGAGTATAAAACTTGGGCACTGTGGTGGTAGAGTATAACTCCATTATAGATAAGATTTTATTTTGATAAATCACACAGTGTTGTGTTATACAGTAATATTAACTGATGACCACGTTTCGAGCACAAATTATTGCCACTCATAATCATATCAAGTTACTCACACAACTTTCTTGCTTCATTTATATACATGAGTGGAATTGATGATTAGACATTTGAACAAAATCATTTTAAGATAAAGTACATTCAGAAATAATAATAATATGAGTGTTATTGATCAAATACAGTCAGATGGGAAATAAGACGAGTGCTTTTATAGTCATAATAAGTAGAATGTTGTGATTTGATTGAATTGAAATAGAATTTTAAGATTATTTATTATCCTCCTCTGATTTGACCGGAGGTAATAATATCTTCCATATTTCTGGTATATGCATTGAGTCACTTTTTTTGAGTGTGTTGTGTTGGGTGTAGACTCGATGAACCAGGCAGGATTCAGTAATCAACCTCTCTCTCCACCTACATAGATTACTTCTTAGAATCTTAACCCTCTCCCACCCACCCTATTGTGTGGTTGTGTGTTATTGCATGTAGTGCAATTGCTGAGCTTTTTTCTAAATTACTTATCTTCTCTGGGTCAACCATTCTTACCTTAGCTAAATTCCTATGTTCCGACAATCTGACTACTGACCCGATCTACTAGTTTGACCTTTGTAGTTGATTTAACTCACAGTCATTGCAAGGTATTTTGTAAATTATATTATTTTGTTTAATTGGGTCCACCAGATCTTTTAGCCTACAGAGCTTGTCTCTCAGTGAGTTTGTAGGTTTGAATGCCACCCTAATTCCTGCTTTATTAAGAATCCTGTTATGTATGAATATTAGGACCTTGTAGACTACGAGCGAATCTAACTTAATGCGCTGGCTAATCTGTCCTAATCGCACGTCAACAACAACAATACCGCCGGGCACGCAAGACAAAGAAAGAAGACTGGACGTTGATACGAGAGCTTTTACTGTCTCTACAACAGTCGAAATGTTAAACAAAAACTCCGTATTTATACAGTTAGGAAAATCAATGTCACATTTAAAAAATATTAACAAACGATGGGAATTCAGTAATTAAATGCGAGTGCAAAAAATCAATAATTATGCAGGTGTGAGAAATCAGTAATCATGCAGGCGCAAGAAAATCAATATTGATAAATCACCTGTGTATATATCAAATCCTATTTAGGGAGGGTCTCAGATATCCCCTCCTTATACAGTAGAACTGTAGATGCCTTATATTCTCTCTTAATTATGTTATCATTATTAGTTTCACCATTATTTTTACTTTGCTTTTGACTTTTTCTGATCTTTCTAATGAATTTTATAGGATAGTTATTTAACACCAACGCCTCTTCTATCTGTTTCACTTCATCATTTAGGTCTTTTCTTGTGCTACTTAGTACTACTGCTCAGTTTATTACACACCTAACTAAACCTTCTAGCCGAGGACTCTGACAAAATGCAGACTCTACTAAACACCTTGAGCTGCAATCTAAGAATGTTTGGCATGCGATTCGCCCCTGTAAAATGTAAGATGATGCTGCAGGATTGGACTTCACCGACCCCTAGATTAGAAATAGGGAGTGAAGGGTAGAGCACGTTGACCGCTTCAATTACTTGGGAAGTACCATCAGCCCCAACGGGTTGATCTCCGACGAAATTTCAGCATGAATACAGAGGGCTAGGTTCGCATACGCCAGTTTTCGCCGTCTCTGGCGTAGACGCGATATCCGACTATCGACCAAAGGGCGTGTGTACTGCTCAACAGTCTACTCCGTCCTCCTTTATGGCTGTGAGACCTGGCCATTGAGAGCAGAAGACATGAAAAGATTAGCTGTCTTCGATCATAGGTGTCTGCGTTCTATCTCCCGTGTGAAGTGGTATAATAAGGTGAGCAATATTGAGGTTAGGCTTCGGTCGAGTGCTAGGTAAGGCGGGGAAATCAATCTATGAGACTGTGAAATTACATCGACTGAGATGGTTGGGACATGTGTTACGTATGCCTAGTCATCGCCTTCCTCGACGGGCAATGTTAGCTGATATAGGGCCAGGCTAGAAAAGAGCTAGCGGCGGTCAAACGAAAACATGGCACCAGTCAATGAAATCCACAACAGTTAGTCTAAGTCACGTAGGGAGATGTCGACTTCCTGGTTGGGGTCATCGGGACGGTAAAAACCAATGGTTGGAAACAATTGGTGACATGGCTCAAAATCGTTCTCAGTGGCGCAGATGCATCCACTCCTTGTGACTTATGATTTCCGATGAAACTGTTTTGTTCTCCGTTATTACTACTCCTTTGTCTCACACCTCTGTTTACTGTCTATATTATGCATTTCTTCTACTTTCTTCTCTTCCTTTGTGTGCTACATGGAGTGTGGCGACTTGAACTGCCGCACATATGTGCAAAGTTCTATGTCGAAAACAGACAGACAGACAGAAACCTGCCTTTACAGACAGATAACGACGGATAAGATGAATTAAAGTCTAAATATCTATTAGTGAATAAGTTAGTTTTTTATAAACTATAGAATGATTTTATTTGATAAAACTAAGCTCTAGTAAGGTAAAAGTACTCGAGAAAGGGTTAAACTTCAACGTTTTGAAAAAAGATACTTGTCAGTGTCGCGGTGAACATTGAACGAGCAACATATTGTTCGTTTCATATGAACTGTGATCAAGATTTGACCGAATTGTTCCAAAATATAATTGGGTGCTGAGTGAGAAGTAGACATTTGTAAAAAAATTATATTTGCATAAGTTTCAGCGAAATTGAAATGATTAATTGCAACGTTTCCAGTGTTCGACAATCTGGTCCGAACTTCTTCAGGGAAATTAATCGATCATAACATAAGAGTGTACTTTCGTGCAACTAATATCTTACGCTCATCACTGGTGAAGGTTAAGGATAAAATAAAGGAAGAAAACCAACAGAATTGTGTGTACCAGATCAATTGTGGGCACTGACCCTGCTGGATATATAGGAAAAACTTCCAGACAATAAATATAAGAATGAAAGAGCATAAACGACGTCTGAAGGTGGTTCCGAAGACCTCTGCAAACTTGAAGGCTTGATAGAACTAAGGTTCCACAGAAAGGTTTCGGTTAGTAAAAAGAAAGACTGAAGCCCTGCATATATGGGTGAATCCCAACAGTTTGAACAGACGTGAAGGTGTGGTGTTAGCTGATGCATGGCAAATCCTGATTAATAAATAAAAATGGATATGTATCAGTAATTAATCATACTTGGTCAAAATTCCCGATTGTCCATATCTTCTCATGGAGAGGCTAAAAAATGTTTAGACTGTTATGCCACAAACAGCTACCATATTCTATAGTTATCTACGACCATCAACTTTTAGTCGAACGTAATCCGATGAAAAGTACACTCTGTTTAAATTGTTTAACAAAAGTAGACTAATTTTTGAGGTTAAGTCTGAGGTCAAATTTTGATCACAGTTCATACAATTTTGTTTATTATACATGTTGATACCTGTTTCATGACTCATGTGACTGAGGACAAAGTTTTTAAAAACAAGAGATGTGCCCCTTTTTATATATAAACCTCTGTTATGTTAATTTCGATTAATTTCCCTGAAGAAGTTCGGACCAGATTGCCGAACACTGGAAACGTTGGAATTAATCATTTCACAATTTCGCTGAGATTTTACAAATATCGTTTGTTTATTTGAACTGACCTCCATTTTGGCGGGAGGCAACAATGAAACGACCTTGGCGTAATCGTATGGTGTTTGACAGAAGATTAGAGAAAAACGATCAGAAGTGGCTGTGCTTAGTAACCTTGCAGACATAGTTGATTGTCTATGAAGCAATAAACAATCCTCGAATTGCCAATCTGTTTTTTTCTGATATTTCCTAGTCGGTTAGCGCGCATTAACATTCTGAGGTAGCGATTAGTTTTCTCTGCAACAGCAATACGTTAAAGATCATTTCTGATCTGAACAGTTGGCAATACTTCTTGTTTGTTTAGTGGATAACGCTTTCGCGTTTGAAACGATGTGCACTGCGTTATAGTTTCTCAGCATAGACAGCTCTATATAAGGCTGATGAGTCCGAAAATAGGAAGAAACACACGCTCAAACTCCACTATCAACCGTAATAACATCATGTTAACCTTCAGACATGCTCAAAGCGTTCGTAGTAGGAGATGAGAGGAGAATGATACTCGGGAAGGCTTCGTGTGCTTTTAGAAGTGTGTGGGCGGTTGTTACTAACTGGCTGCCCACACCGTGGAAGTTGCCTGATTCTTTGGGTAACTGAAACAGAAAGAGGGTTAGTGTTGCATGACCGCAGAGCCCAAGGGATAATTGCTTAAAGCCGGTCACACATGGCCTGTATGAACTGGTTTCTTGGTTTGGTTCCGTATTAGTAAACTTACCGCCGTAGGTGGGATGTACAATTTTTGGGGTTGACCTTTTCTAACCCCTTTCCTCCAGAGTGGAGAGAAAGTATAAATGGCATGCTGGTTGTAAGAAGGAAACACCTTACTGTTGTTACATCCCTGTTCCCCAGCAGTACGACTTCGCCCACAGACCCCCAGCATAGTGTATAAAAAGAAATTCTTGCACTAATTCAGTAACTGCTTTCAGTCTAATCGCTATCGTAACAACCTTCCTGGCTTGTTAGGACCTACAGGAACAATAGTTTCAGCCAGAGTAGCTTGTTGGGTTATTGCGATGTGCAAGCCCGGTGACCACCACGTCAAGGTAGCAGCTATCGGTCAGGATTAGGAGGTAACATGTAAGCGTAGACGGAGAATTTCGCTGCAGGGTTGGCAAACATTCTACTACTAGTGGAACCACCGACCCGATTTTCGCTCTCGCATATCAGAAGTTTATTGATTTGAATGAAATGTCATGTCTGACATTCTTTTATTCGACTTCTGTGTATTTTTCTCTTTTTTTCTCTGCTTATTACACACATTTAGCGTTTATGTCTGTATCGTGTATTTCCTCAAATTGCCGAGGATTTCTCGAATCCACATATGGTACCATTCATTCTACCCGCGGTTTTACAAATTATGGATAGTGTCAGTCAAGATGAATTTATTCAGTATATGTTACCTCGTCTTATCCCTGTGATGACAATGAAAGAGCCTATTCAGGTGAGTTGTGATCACACAATGGTAAGAAGAAATATAAGAACAATATATTATTATTATATACTTGTATAAATATTAATTCATTTGGTCGTGGTTGGTTGGTTGGTTGGAGGATTTCATCATGAACTGACATCGGTTAGGGGACCATTGGAAAACCAACACTCTGGAGTAGTGGACAGCTGTTTCGTCAGCCTAGTTTCAGGCTCTTCATCAGTACTCACCCTCTCCACTGGGGTTTGAATCCAGAACCTTCTGGT